AGCCTTATTTTCTCCACAAGGAGAGTGAAAATCAGCAGAATGCCATCAAAGACTACATGGGTGACACTAAAGTAACATCTGTTTTGTCCCATAAATTAAGCAGGGAAGGGCAGTATCTATGGTAACATTAAACTGTAAAATGATTGTAAAAAGCTTGATTTAGAGTTCAAATACAGGTCTTCACAAAAACGACAATTTTAATGATCATGACCTTCACATCTCAGCCTTTAAACTCTTTTTTTTATAGTAACCAGGGTTACTATAGTTAATCCATGGTAACCACAAATTAACCATGGTTTTGCTACACTAACCAGGGCTGGAAATGGGGGGGGGACGGGGACGGGGACGATATTCCAGCTCCGACTGGTTAGATTTTTTGGGAAATGAAAGGGATTTCTGTTTTATTCATTCATTAGCCTACGCACATAAACGTAGCGCAATATATAATAATAATAATAAAAATAATTTTTTTGAACAATCACTTGCTTTGTTCCTGAATGAATCAGCTGTTTGAACAAATCAACTGAATGAATGATTCAGTGACAAAGACAGTGATTTGCTGCCACCCATTTAAATAATTTAATATTTCTATATTCAGAACTTATTCTAAAACTGTTATTTTTTAATTTAAATGCTTTCATGCCACCTCTGAGCCTCATTAAACAGTCTGTTAAATATACCTAAATGCCACTTTTGTGTTCTTGTGTGCCACCTCTGTAGTGCAAAGATTAATTTTTTTTATTTAATTTGATTGGTAACTTATGCTTCCTGACTGTGCCTTATTAGCTAATTGAATGTACTGTCAAAATTAAAAAAAAAAAAAAAAAAGTTCATAAATATTATAACACAGTGTGCCATTGATCTTGATACCTAAAAACATATGGTTTAGAGAAAACATGAAATAAGTTTAATGTTATAGATTATAAAGGTTTTTATAATCAATTAAATCTGAAAGGTCGTCTAACCCCTTTAGTTACCCCAACTTAGAGTTCTCCCAGTGAATTTTGGCCTTTTCCACCACTGACACTAACCATAGTTTAACCATGGTATCTTTTTTAGTAAAACTATGGTTATACAACTGGTAGTCAATATACTAAAAAAAACATGGTTAATACACTTTTACTAGAGTAAAACCATGGTTCCCTTTCGATAATTCACTCGTACTGCATTGCTAGACACTATGGGGAAAAATCTCCTTTTTCTCCGAGTATTGAAGCCTTTACAATCATGCAGTGTAACTGCACGGCCATTGGTTTGTGCAGTAAATAAAAAAGAACCAATGGCTCGGCAGCAGAGCTGCACAAGTCTATGGCGACGAAGCCTGCCAGAATGGGCGGGGCCATCTGGCTATAAGCGGGCATTTCGCCATAGGATCTCAGATTAATTCTCCTTCAGCGACGACAATCTTCTCTTCGCTGAGCTACGAGACTTGAAGCCGCTCGCCGTTGACGTGCCTCGCTGCGGACAGGAAGCTGATTCAGCAACCTGTGCCGCTCTGCTGTTCTCACTCCATGCTTTCAGCGCCCGCGCAGCTCTCAGCTCATCCCCAGTGGCCATCCGGTGAGTTCTAAAATAGCACATTTCTAAAGAACAAATTTCCAGCAACGTTGCTGCAAATGTTGCACTGAGAGTGTGGCTCATGCAGGGAGTCCTGAACAATGCAGAAGGGCAGTGAGAGCATCGCCTGTCTGTGTAACACCCACACAGAGACTGCGCACTCACTGAGACGGAATGCTTTCACTGTGAATATGAGTCTCGCTCTTCTCTGCTCGCGGATCGCCTTCAATGAAGGCAGCTCCGCTCTCCCATTTCTCCTCTCTCAGCAAAGCTCGGAGAAAGAAACAGAGCCACGGAGCGGAGCAACCGAATTTGAGTGATCCCGCGCTGGTAATGAGCCCGCGTGCTCGCTCTCCCCGCAGCGCTCTGATCCGCCGGTGTTTTTACATGTGAGCGCTCCTTACATTGAGTGGCTCTATCCTCTTAGGCGGATCGGAGTAGAAAGCCATATCGTTGACAGCTTTGCATTTGTGTGTGCATCGCTGAAGCGGTGCTCACACAGGTAGGCTGCTTTCACCAAAAGCCGGAGTTCCCTGATTCGCTCGCGGATCCCCTCAGCCCCGCCTCCCCTGCTCTCATATTTCTCTTCTCCCGGTCAACTCAGAGAAAGGAACGGTGAACTCGTGAGGCTGAGCGATCAGGCTTGAGGGATTTTTCATGCTGGCACACATCCTGAATGCTCACTGTGGTCTGCCAGCATGTGTTAACACGTGAGGATTAGCGCCCCTCATTACATCGAGTGGCTCAATCCTTTTAGGCTGATTGGAGTAGAATGCTGCGCTGGGCGGCCTTGTCTCCCCCACTCTCAAATTTCTCTTCTCCCAGTCACCTCGGAGAAAGAGACTGTGAAATCGCGGGGCTGAGCGATCAGGTTTGAGTGATTTTTCACGCTGGCACAGCCCCCGCATGTTTCACTCTGCACGCAGTGCTTTGATCTGCCAGTGTGTTTACACTGAGGATTAGCGCCTCTTGTTTGTCAAGCGGCTCAATCCTTCAAAGCGGATCGGAGCAGAATGCTGTCACCTATGATTTACATTATCACTGACAGCTTCTATTTGAGTGCGCCTCTTGGGCCACACCCACGCTGAGGCTGCGCTCACTAGACAGACAGCTCTGATTACTAGAGTTTGTCTCTCACTCTGCTTTGCTCGCAGTTCGCCTTCAATGAAGGTGGCCCCGCCCCTCTCTTCGTCTGCTATGAGCGGATCTGAGAGGATACGCGCAGTACCTTTGATCTGCCGGTGTGTCTACACATTTAGGCGGATTTAAAGAGAATGCTGTCACTAATGATTATTATCACTGACAGCTTCAGGGTTGGACGCGTCTGGGCCACACCCACACTGAGGACGTGCCCACGGGGTCTGACTGCTCTAGCTGTCAACTCAGTCCACATGAGGGTGGTAGTCGAGCCAGACCGTGCACTGGCCATGCAACAGCTCGCGGTATCTTTCAAAATCGGAGCCTCTCTCCCTCTCAAGACGTTTCAAAAGATGCTGGGCTTTTGAAACGTCATGATCTTTCAGAGACCATGGCCTCTGCATCACCGGTACTACAGCTGGGCCTGCTCCGCATAAGACCCCTTCAGTACTGGCTGAAACCTCAAATTCCGCCCCATGCGTGACGTCATGGACGCATTTGTGTCGGGGTGAGACAGGCCTGTGTAACAGCTCTGGCCCCTTGGAAAGACCCACAGTGGTTCAAGTAGGGCGTGAATCACAGAAGGAAGGTTGTCTTGACAGATGCATCCAACATGGGTTGGGGAGCTCTGTGCGAAGGCAGACCGACTTTCGGCTCCTAGTCGGACACAGAAGGTCGGCTACACATCAACTGCCTTGAGATGGCAGTACGTCGAGCCCTTCAGACGTTCTTACCGGACCTGAAGGGACATCACGTGTTGTGTTTCCTGAGAGGATCCAAGAGGCTCAATCCGGCCTGGTCCCCCACAGTCCCTGCGTGGGACCTGCCCACGGTCCTGAGAGCCCTCGAGGGCTCCCCCTTTGAGCCACTACAGTCTGCAGACTTGAAAACCCTGTTGCTCTGCTAGTGGCTTTAGCATCGGTTAAACAAGTAGGTGACTTGCAGGCTTTCTCGGTAAGTCCTGCCTGTCTTGAGTTTGGGCCTAACGACTCCAAAGTCATCCTAAAACCAAGACATGGGTACGTTCCTAAGGTGCTCTACACCCCGTTTAGAGCCCAGGTTATTACTCTCTCTGCGCTTCCTCCTCCTGAGGAGGACCAGGAGTTTAACTTTCTCTGCCCAGTTTTTGTATGCTTTAGTGGCCGCACTAAAGGGTCCCCGGTCACAAAGCAGAGGATTTCTCGATGGTTAGTTGATGCTAGCATACTCCTCCCTGGGTCTTCAGAGCCCCATAGGAGTCAAAGCCCATTCCACTCAGGGCGTGGCCTCGTCCAGAGCGTGGTCTAGCGGTGTGTCCAAAACAGATGTCGTCCTCGCCGTCCACTTTCACCAGGTTCTATAACTTGAATTTTCCGGCCTTGCAGGCTCGGATTCTATCTGCTTAAATGGATATGTGCCTGCCTAAGGCAGTCTAATTCTTCAGGCATTGCCTGTTTTTTCAGGTACGCTCTTGGTCCTTTCAGTAGTGCTGAGGCTGTACATAACCGTTGGAACAATTATCCAAGGCTGGGCTGACCTCAGTGAATTCAGCAGCTCTGCTGAAGAGCCATTTGTTTGTTTTTTATTTACTGCACGAACCAATGGCCGTGCAGTTAAAGGTTTCAGTCCTCGGAGAAAAAGGAGTTTTTCCCCATAGCGTCTAGAGACGCAGTACTCGTTCCCGTATCTCAGGGAACCGAGGTTACGTAAGTAACAGAGTACGTTAATTTTCGTAAGGAAAAGCTATCAATTATTAATGTAAATGTATTATGTTATTAATGTATTTTACTGTCTTAATTGTTTACATTTTTATAATGCCACCAGTTCACATTTACAACTCTGCGTGTTTGCGGTGTAAAAACATGGGTTGATTTTCACATTGGTCCGATCAAAAACAGCAGCTCTGCCAGCTGGAGGTGCTTTTGAAGCAGCAGAAATATAACTGTTTCCCAGTAACAGCATAACACAAAGCAGCACAGAACCAGACATTGAAACTTGCAGCGCTCATGTTTATTTAATAAATTCATAGCCTTTTGAAATTTAATCGTCACATTCAGCCATATCGCAATTCTTTTCCCCAAATTTAAGACCTCTTGAAATCATAATGAAGACTTTCTTGTTCCATTTTTTTATGGCCTTAAATTTGATACAACTAAATTTAAGACTTAAGGATCCGCGGAAACCCTGTAGATATATGTGAACGAATAAGGACTATTTCAAAATTGATCACTGTCTCCGTTTATGGTATTAAACATTCTGCTAAACATCTCAATTTTAAGAAAGTCATACGGCATATGAGAATCTGGTTTCATTCTCAAGTGTCTCACCTGCATCATTGAGCCATTTCTCAAGTAGAGGTTTGAGTTTGCTCATGTTCTTGAAGCTCAGGTTCAAGGCCTCAAATCTGGAAATGGTGGTCTGGCTGAAGTCGTTCCCATAGAGTTTCCCCATCGCCAACCCCACGTCACCCTGAGACACAGAATCACACGTCAGTGTTATGCATGACAACTCAATCATGAACACAGATGACACAGCTCACCTGAGTGAAGCCCAGCTTGATGCGTCTCTGTTTGAGGTTCTTTGCGAACTGCTCAAGCTCCTCGAGGACACACGGCGCGTCCATGCACTTTGGAGTGGCCGCCGCTGGAGCCGGCATGGCTCCAATCTTGCTCGTCGGTGTGGCCGCCTGCGAAATCAGACCACCTCCATCAATACACACCATGTCCATTAACATGGACCACCTCCATCAATACATGGATCAAATATGTAGAAGAACATCAGTGAAGGGATTGAATTAGTTTTTTTTATTTTATTTTTTTCCATTTTAATTTTTCCGGATTTCATTTTAATGGGGTTAAATAAAATTAGCAATCAAAAAGCATGTCTAATTAATTGAAATCATGAAGCTTTTACAATTTAACACCATTTTTTAAGCTTAACAAAGACCACATTTTTGGGCCGTATGAAACATGTTTTATTTTTTACCAAAGTGTGTGTTTTCCTTTTTCTGGATACGGTCTAATCAATTGAATTCATAAATCAACTTTATTTTATATATATATATATATATATATATATATAAGGCCCTATGTAATGTTTACAGAAATTCTGTTATTATTTAAAAATTTCTAGTAATCAAATGAAGACATAAAACATTAACAATTTAATATATTTTTTTAATCAAATGAAAATTAAACAAACCCTTAAATTTTTTGGCAAACAAGGAAGAAAATGTGATTATTCCCTAAAAAATAAAGTTTTAATTACTATGTTGTGAATTCTTTATATTATATATCTTTAATACTATATACTATTACTACTTTTATTTTATATCTGGTAAGAGTTTGGATTATGTAAATATGCACTACGCAACTTGTAGTGTGATACGTGTTTGGCTTAAGTGACGCATTATTGGTTAGGCATACAGAGCGGACAGAATGTGACGCAGTTTCCACCTGTGCAGCATCGCTAAGTGCAGGGCAAAAGTTACTGACGACAAACTACCTTCAATGCATATCAGTGTGTATATGGTGAAACCCTGCACATAAATAAATGGTGGAAAGAAATTTGATGACTCCGACTCCCTGATCGGAGTACTGAAATGGTTAACACGATTAAAGAACCAGCATTAGTGGGGCAGTCCCCAACAACTATTATATTATACAATATATTATAATCATTCTGTTTATTTTTATTATTGTTGCTGAGAAACATACACAACATGCAGACTTTAGATTTGCAGTTTTGTCACAGACACTAGTCCATATTAGCATTTGATTAAGTGTACAGCCCTACTTTTGATTTATTCATCCAGAATTGTCCAAATTCTATGACATTCCGCATTACACAGTAAATTCAATTTTTATGACTAGATTTTGTGATTCCCTCCATGTTTTTGCATCACAGCAATCAAGTCTCGAGTCTCTTTCGTTTAAAAACATTCAGTGAAGAACCATACCAACAAGATCTGAGATGAACTACAACATTACAGATAAATCTATGAGATTGTTTATGAGGGAATGAACTGATGCACTGAGAATCACAAACGACAGTAAAGTGACAGTATAAATAGCATATGGCTGAGGTTTGATTAGTGTTGTGACCTGTGTGGTGAGGGTGATGCTGGTCTGAGTTGGCAGGAGGTTAGCTTGGCTTTGACGTAGTTGAGTCAGGAGATTTTGAGCTTGCAGGAGACCTGAGACAGACAAGTTAGAAATGATGATGAGGAGCAGCAGCATCATCACAACACATCTGAGACACTCTTACCTGTCTGACCCTGAGGTGACGGTGATATGATGAACTGCGGCTGAATCTGAGAACTGATGGAGTGCCCTGGCTGAACCCACACGAACTGCTGCAGGTTCAAACCCTGCGGCTGCAGCTGCTGCAGGATGAAAGACAGACAGAGATTGAGACTGTTCTGTGCCTTGTTTAACAGTATTTAAGTTAATTTACTTACATATTTAAAAGTAGCTTATCTTAACATTTTTTCCCCAACATTTCATATTTGTATATTAAAAAATTTAAAACAATGAGCTCATTTATACTGTTGTTATTTTGCAGTGTAAATGCATTCATACTACATTTCAGCTTCATTAAGCTCTCTGTGTAAATGCATCTAAACACTTCAGCTGCTTCCCTTTCTTCTGCAGTGGAAAAATTGGTTGTATTACTACTGATTTCATTAGCTTGGTACCAGACCTAGAGTGTCTTATTATATGAAGTGAAATTGATAAAATGGAACAATTTGACATGAAAGAATGCATGTGTGGCGGGACAGTAAGGCAGAGAAATAAATCGAGGAAAAGACCTAAAAACCTTGACCTAAAATTTGCAATAATAGCCCACTATGCCTGTGTTTCTGCCCGTTAAAACCAATGTTTTATTACATCAAAAATATTTTTTCTGTTTAAAAACAAGGAAGTCACAATTCACAGGGGGACATGTTCGATACAGATACCTTTTAAATACCCATTAAAAAATAAAAAATAAAAAATAAAAAAACCCACCAAATATTAATTCAACAACAACAACACTTCAGCTGCTTCCCTTTCTTCTGCAGTGGAAAAATTGGTTGTATTACTACTGATTTCATTAGCTTGGTACCAGACCTAGAGTGTCTTATTATATGAAGTGAAATTGATAAAATGGAACAATTTGACATGAAAGAATGCATGTGTGGCGGGACAGTAAGGCAGAGAAATAAATCGAGGAAAAGACCTAAAAACCTTGACCTAAAATTTGCAATAATAGCCCACTATGCCACCTAGGGAATTCCACCCCAGGATATAAACCACTCAACCATACAGGTTCGGTCTACCCAGAAATGATTGAGATGTTTCTGCCCGTTAAAACCAATGTTTTATTACATCAAAAATATTTTTTCTGTTTAAAAACAAGGAAGTCACAATTCACAGGGGGACATGTTCGATACAGATACCTTTTAAATACCCATTAAAAAATAAAAAATAAAAAATAAAAAAACCCACCAAATATTAATTCAACAACAACAACAAAAAAAAAAAACCCCCGCCACAACATACAACTGAAAGCACCACCTGGGACGCTGAGAGCACTTACAAGGAAAAAATCCTAAACCCCCCCGACAGACAAACCCTCACACTCTAGTGCTCTCCACTGCAACCAAACGAATGAAAAACAAATGTGTTCCACACAGCACCCCAAAGAATAAATGGTGTATCTCACTAGGTCCCCAAAGGGAGAACTCTCAGCACTGACAAAAGAAATACAAAAACAAATATACAATTACACAAAAAAATGGAGTAAGTAAAGGATAGAAAACTACAGATATATGCAAAATATTAGGGTACATGACTAATCATCCCCGTAAATCACATAAACCATCTTGATCACGATTACCCAAAAAGTTTGGAAAAGAAAACTAAATAAACCCTTTAATATTCCCAAAACCATCAAACAAACAGCTGACACAAAGAAAGAAGAAAGAAAATCTATTAAAGACAACGAGGGCAATAAACAGCAGAAACCACAGAGACAAAACAGCAGCGCAGTCTGGGTCCGTACGTCCTGCCAAATATTGACCAATTCCACGGCTCCACGCTGGACATAAGCCGATAGGCACTTCCCCTCAACCTGCACACAGACACTAACGTCCATGAAACTTAAACATTTACAATATAAAACCGCCCCTCATAAAATCATACTCACTGGGTCAATCCGACTGATATGAAAGAGCTCCCGCTATGACATATCTTGCTACACCTGAACTGCAGGATACAGACTTGGGTTACACACCAGTACTACACCTCTCACCTATGGAATTCCATTCATCCACATACCTGGGTTTAAACAGAGAAAGGACTGGAATAGAAAACCCAAACCACATGACTCCACCAGGCAAGGGCGACACAACAGAAAACGTGAGGTGTAGGAAATTAATCAAGTGCTCACTACACCACTGGCATGCTCTACTTTTATTGTGATACAAAATAATGTTAGTCATTCACCTGTGAAGGACGCAGCTAAACCTGTAGTGAGTTCCTCCTATTCTCCAGCAGAGGGGGTTGTGGTAGCAATATTCATTCCATCACAATCCATCCCACCTATTTGCATCGCCGTCCCGACGATGAACCAGTAAGCCACGAAATTCAGTCCCATGGTCTAAAAAACAAGGAAGCATTAGGCACAATCATCTGGGAATTCATAACCCCTCTCTCCCTCCCCCGCACTGCCCTAGGTAAATTATAAAGATTGGAATGTCGTCCCGCGGTGTCCCGAATGGTCCTTCTCAGTCCACTATCCCCTTCCGGAGGGGGGTAAGACGCTGGGGTCACAGCTTACTCTAGCCTGCTGGCACCACCATCAACATCATTTGATTGACTTGGGAACAGGACTGGGGCAAGGGTAGATGTCTCAGGGCCAGAGGGCACAGGTGTCGATCCAGCTTGAACACCGAAAGGCCCGAACACCAGGACCCAATCATCCTCCCTCTCTTCCTCTCCACTTTTCTGAAGTGGCCCAGCCTCCTCTTGACTCTTGGCACTTCGTCCTCTCTCTGGGCTCTGAGTGGCAATATAATGCTTCAGCAAAGTGCGATGTACATGCTTAATCTTACTCCGGTCGTCTACTGGGGCAATTGTGTACACTGATCCTCTTTCGGTAGGAGCTTTTAACACCTGATACCGAATAGAACTCCAGCAGCCTTGTATCTTGTTACATCCATTCATTCTGTGTCTTGCGCTTTCAAATGCCATCTGAAGTCGTACTTGATGGTCTACGACCCAGTCATGCACCACTGGGTCGACCGGCAGCTTCGGATCTTGACCAAAACATGTGATAAGGGGACTCACCCGTGGACTGATGGGGGTTCATATTGTAACAAAACAACAACCGGGGGAGGCAAGTGGTCCAATCCCTCTTCCTCATTGCAGGCAGTGTTCGCAGAAGGTTGTGCAGAGTACAGTTAAACCGTTAACACTGCCCATTGCCAGCAGGATGTTATGGAGTAGTTTGTGACTTGACCACGCCATATAGGCCACACAATTGCGGAATCAGAGAGCTCTCGTAACTCTGTCCCTGGGCCGAGTGCAGCTGACTTGGTACTCCGAATTTATAGAACCACTCCATAACCAGAACTTGAGCCACTGTAGAGGCACGTTGATCCCGGGTAGGGATGGCCTGGGTGAATTTCGAGAACACATCAGTCATAAGAATTTTCCATACCATTTTGAGCTGGCTCAAGGAGGGTAAAGTCCACAGCTAATATCTCATTTGGCTGTGATGCAAGGAGATTATACATAAAATGTACGCACCACTGGCTGAGAATTCTTAGACACCTGGCATCCGTCACACTCTTGGCACCAGCGCTCCACCTCAGATGACATGCCGGGCCAGTAACACCGTCTGTGGACCAGCTCTAGTGTTCGCTCCATGCCCTGGTGCACATGCCCCTGATGCAGCCGAGTGAGCACTTCTCTCTTCAATGACATGGGGAGAAACAACTGCAGAACCTCCTCGCCCCCATCAGGATGTAGAATGCGACGATAGAGCACTCCCTCCCTCCCACTGTTGCAGTAATGATAGCATTGGCCTTGCAAGCATCCGCCTCTCCTCAGGGGTCAGATGGCATTGGTTCTTCCAGAAAGCAAACACCTCCTTGATCACAGGATCCTCCGCCTGCAGGGCACACAAGCTAGCAGGGGCATAACAGGGCAAGACAGAAATAGCTGCTTGCATTACCTACAAGGCTGGCTCCAAAGAAACTTGGTGCAAGGACAATGGCTCTTGGCAGTTCTCCTCCATCCCCTCTTCTGTAGGCTCCACATACTGTCACGAAAGGCCGTCTTCATTTTGGTTAACCATGCCAGACCTGTACTTGATAATCAAACGCAGCCAGTTGTGCAACCCACCGCTGCTCGGTAGCACCCAATTTCGTGGTGGCAAGGTGGCTTAAAGGGTTGTTATCAGTGTACACAAGGCACTTCTGGCCCAACAATTATTCTCAAAACTTTTTGGTCATTGCCCATTTCAGGGCCAGAAACTCCAACTTCATTGAGATGTAATTCGTCATATTACGCTCGGCAGGCCGCAAGCTTTGGCTGGCATAGGCAACAGGTCTTACCTTGCCCTCTTGCTCCTGCGAGAGAATAGCCCCCAGCCCTTGATGACTTGCATCCACTTCTAAAATGAAGTGTAGAGAAAAACTTGCATAGGCCAAAACTGGTGCAGTACTAAGCTTCCTTTTGAGACCTTCAAAGCTGTTCTCGCACTCCTCAGTCCATACTGTGGGGAGGCTCTTTCCAGTCCCCTTGCTCTTCTTTGAACCCACCAGTTCAGCCCCCAGCCAATGCAGCGGGGCTGCCAGTGCCGCAAAACCCTCCACAAATTGTCGATAGTAACTTGCGAAGCCAAGGAAAAACCTTAACTCAGAGACATGTGCAGGCCTTCTCCATTCTGCCACAGCCTGGATTTTCTCAGGAACAGTGGAAATGCCTGCCTTTGATATCATATGCCCCAAATAACGTACCTCCGGTTTGAAGAATGAACAATTTTCCAACTTGGCTTTGAGGCCTTCTTGTTTCAGCCATGCCAGCACAATCTCCAGCTGCTCTAGATGTTCTGCAACAGAGGGAGAAAACACGATGACATCGTCCAAGTACAATAACAGAGACTGGCAATGCTGAACCACGAAGATCCTCTCCATTAGCCTTTGAAATGTACTTCGCGCGTGGCACAGGCCAAAGGCCATACGATTCCACTCAAAAAAACCAAATGGGGTACAGAATGCCGTTTTTGGTTTATCCTTTTCAGTGATTGGAACCTGATTGTACCCACTTGCCAAGTCCATTGTTGTGAACCATTGGGCACCAGAGAGAGCGTCAAGAGACTCTTCGATTCTTGGCAGGGGGAAAGCATCTTTCCTCGTCTTCCCATTCAACTGATGGTAGTCCACACACAATCGGAGGCTGCCATCCTTCTTTACTAACACAATAGGGGAGACATAGGGGCTACTACTTTCTTGGATAATTTGTGCCTCTAACAACTGATTAATGTGGGCCTTAACATTATCATATTCTGAAGGGGGAATACGGCGATACCTCTGCCTAACTGGAGTCTCATCTACCAAAGGAATATCGTGAGAAATCAATGTAGTACAACCCAAATCCGTATCGCTGGAGGAAAAAAAACAGAGCTATATTGATTCAAGAGCAATTGTACATCACTCTGATCCTTTTCGGAAAGGGGAGACAAATCCAAGGCCTTGATCTTATCCTGGACAGAGGCTTCAAGAGAAAACATCATTGCAGTAGCAGTCCTTATCTCCTTAACCTCTGCGGATAGACTAACTACACTTATCGGGGTAAGGGTACTAATTACAATGAGAATATAATACAACGTCTTCCGACTCTACATTAACTACTGGGATGTATACTGTACCGCGGGTTACTGCAATCAGCGATAGAGGCCAACAACCCTGCTGGTAGCCCAGTACCTGGGGGCTCAAACAAAACAGGATGTCCGGTATACTGGACAGAACAAGTAGCGGGCACCAACTTCATGGTACCACCAGGAACTCGGCAAACTCTTCGTCCCTACACTCTCACCTGTACTAGAAAATCTACTGCAGGCTCTACCTTAGCCTGATGGCACTGTTGCAGGGCTTGACGAACGGGGGTTGGGGCCCGTGTCACAGAGGGAATATCAAATAACGCAGACCCATACTCCCCAAATAACTCTGCATAACATTCTTTAAGAACATTAATTCCTAACACCCCTGGAACTCTGGTACTACTCCCTGGAGGGTCTCTGACCACTAACACTCCCCGTCCAAGCATTACCTTTCCATAAAGCTCCACATCCACTTCTACAGTGGGGCAAATAAGTATTTGATACACTGCCGATTTTTCAAGTGGGAAAAAAAAAAAAAAAAAAAAAAAAAAAAGTTATGGTGGACACCATCGATCCGGTGTCCACCAAACATGACACCTGAACACCCCCCACAATTACATCAACGTGGGGACAAGATGACATCAACTGAGGCATAGATTTGACTTCTGCACTACCCACCGAGCCCAACTTACCCCCATCCGAACTGTGGCTCAACAGCTCGGTGGGTATTAGTTTTCCGACTGCCGAGCCAAAGGACTAGGAGCACCTCCTCGAGGAGGCACACCCGAGGATGACTGGGACCGAGGTGTGACCCTCTCCCCATCACACTCTCGGGCATAATGGCCAGATTTCTGACATTGCTTACAGATAACTGAACCCCCACGATCAGAAGAGCCCTGACTACACTGGCACTGTAATGTTGCAAAATTCTGGGTAAGCTTATCCAATTTTCGTTACTGCCGTTTCAAAAGCTACTTTAACTCAGCGAGTTCTGAGCTAGACGCAACACCAGCAGTTGATAAATTTCCCTGAACCCCACACTGGAACCCATATGCTAAGGATACTGACTGGCTATGGTCCCGACTACCCACTGACGCTCCCACCTAATAGCCTGGTTTTTCACGAACAAAACGCTCAAGTTCTCTACGGAGAGCACAGTCATAAATGTACTCCACAAATTGGTCACGTAGTAGAATCTCTATGTTAGAGCATATCATGGGGGGCATTCTTTTTAACCCTTTCCATTAAACACAATAATGCATGCGAAAACTCCTGCAATGACTCCCCTTCCTGTTGTTTTCGGGAAAAGAACGCTTCCTGTAAAGCGACATAGGACTGAGAACATCCATAAAGTTCCTGTAAAATGGCAAGAATCTTTACGGGGTCTTCCTTTTCCTCTCGTAACCGATATTTAATCTCCTTCGCTTCCCCCTCTAAATGATCATACATAAAGAAGGCTCGGTCAGCAGAAGATAAATGACGGGTATGTACACTCACCTCTACTTCCTCCACCCATTCCTGTAAACTTAAACCACCCCTGCCACTAAATAGGGGGCAACGCCTTTCTCTAGGGATATACACCACCCTTTCAGCGGTGGGGACACTACCAGAAGAAACACTAAGGAGCAAGGCATTACTGCTAGAGGGACCCGCCGCTGCTACTTGGTGAAGCAGTGCGATGTCTGCCTCCAACCGTGCTACCAGCTCCTGCAATTGTTGCAAGTCCTCGGCCATCACGACTGATAAAAACAAAACAAAGCCAAATGAGAAATCAATACACCCCTAACCCAACCTGATGGAGCCTACTGCTGTTTTCTCTCTCTCAATACTCAAATTTGAATTCAGGCAGAACACATCTCAACTTCAACTAGGTAAACTACCCTGCCGACTACGCCAGAATGTGGCGGGACAGTAAAGCAGAAAAATAAAAATCGAGGAAAAGGCTGCAACCTTGACCTAAAATTTGCAATAATAGCCCACTACGCCACCTAGGGACTTCCACCCTAGGATATAAACCCCTCAACCATACAGGTTCGATCTACCCAGAAATGATTTAGAGGTTTCTGCCAGTTAAAACCAATGTTTTATTACATCAAAAATAATTTTCTGTTTAAAAACAAGGAAGTCACAATTCACAGGGGTACATGTTCGATACAGATACCTTTTAAATACCCATAAACAAACAAAAAAAGAATACCAATTAAATTATATTATGCTAACTGGGGGCAGAACAAAAAAAAAAACCCTGAAAGCACCACCTTGGTCGCTGAGAGCACTTATAAGGAAAACATTCTAAACCCCCCGACAGACAAACCCTCACACTCTAGTGCTCTCCACTGCAACCACACGAATGAAAAACAAATGTGTTCCACACGGCACCCCAAAGAATAAATGGTGTATCTCTCCAAGTCCCCAAAGGGAGACCTCTCAGCACTTACAAAGAAATACAAAAACAAATATACAATTACACAAAAAATGAAAAATAAAAGGAAAGAAAACTACAGATATATGCAAAACATTAGGGTACATGACTAATCATCCCCGTAAATCACTGACAGAATATCACATCAGACGTCTTGACCACTATTACCCAAAAAGTTTGGAAAAGAAAACTAAATAAACCCTTTAATATTCCCAAAACCATCAAACAAACAGCTGACACAAAGAAAGTAAATCTAGTAAAGACAATGAGGGCAATAAACACAGCAGAAACGATAAGCCGATAGGCACTTCCCCTCAACCTGCACACAGACACTAACGTCCATGAATCTTAAACATTTAAAATATAAAACCACCCCCCATAAAAAGATCATACTCACTGGGTCAATCCGACTGATATGAAAGAGCTCCCGCTATGATATATCTCGCTACACCTGAACTGCAAGATACAGACTTGGGTTACACACCAGTACTACACCTCTCACCTATGGAATTCCATTCATCCACATACCTGGGTTTAAACAGAGAAAGGACTGGAATAGAAAACCCAAACCACACGACTCCACCAGGCAAGGGCAACACAACAGAAAATGTGAGGTGTGGGAAATTAATCAAGTGCTCACTATGCCACTGGCATGCTCTACTTTTATTGTGATACAATCATGTTAATCATTCACCAGCCGGTGATGGACACAGCTAAACCTGTAGTGAGTTCCTCCTATTCTCCAGCAGAGGGGGTTGTGGTAGCAATATTCATTCCATCACACATGTATGTATTCGGCCAATAGACAGTTGTGACTCGACACGCCAGAGCAAGTAAGTAAACAGTAAACTTTGGGCAATCCTTTTTACGTGCATGAGCACTAGAGCAGTGCATATGGAAGTGATAGAGTCCATGGTTATATCCAGCTGTATCAATGCATTACGTCGCTTCTTTGCTATAAGGGGAAGAGCCAAACAACTTCGATCTGATTGTGGAACAAATTTCGTCGGAGCATGCAAAGAGCTCGGTTTCTCGACAGACCATACGGTCCAGAAGTATCTAAGTGAGCAGAGCTCTTCTTGGCAATTTAACACCCTCACGCATCACACATGGGTGGTGCGTGGGAAAGAATGATAGGGATCACATGCAGAATCTTTGACAGTATGTTGCTGAAAAACAAATCAATCCAACTTATGCATGAAGTTCTGTGAACTTTGATGGTTGAAGTGTCCGCTATAATCAGTGCCAGACCACTGGTTCTAGTCTCCTCTGATCCAGAGACACCATTGTTACTAACCCCTAACATTCTACTCACCCAAAAGACTGGATTTCCTTTTGGAGTTCCTACATGCGATTTTTCAGAGAAAGACCTTTATGGGAGTCAATGGAAAAAAGTACAGGCCCTTGCAAATCAGTTCTGTGCCTGCTGGAAGCAAGAGTACCTTCCCATCTTGCAAAAAAAGGTGCAAATGAACAATCACACACCAGTCTTTAAGTTGGAGATATCGCTCTCTTAAAAGACAGCACCCTTTCTCGGAATGATTGGCCTATGGCCATGACCACCAATAGTTTCCCAAGCACCGATGGACGTGTAAGGAAAGTAGAGGTTAAGACAATAGAAAGATTTTGAATAAATTTTAATCAACTTAATGCATCCTTGATGAATGAAAGTATTTACAGAATACAATATTAAGAAATTAATACTTACGGTGACCGGGAGGGAACATGTTCGGTTCACTTATTTTTGTCATGGCCACGACATATCATCACATTCCCACGAGTTAATATGTTGTGTAATTTGTGGGAACGTCATATTAACTCATGGGAACAAGATTATTTTGTCGAGGTAACGACATCCTTGGTGATGGACACAGCTAAACCTGTAGTGAGTTCCTCCTACTCGTGGCCATGACTTCTTATGTTGAGGGAACAACATATTTTTCTCGTGGCCATGAGTTTAATGCATAAACAAACCTGCATGACCATAGCAACCTAGGATCAGAGTTAATATTTTATTAAGAATTTAGAAATTATATTAATTATTATAGAAATTATTACATTATTATATTAACCAAAGGCCTAGGCTACCGGACTGTATTGCGCACAATGTAGACAGCATTCGAATGAATTTATCATGAATAAATGTTACATAAAGTACATAAAATAAAATACAAGAAACTACAAGAAAACATTTTTATCCATGCCACAGTCTCCATTAACTGATCATCTTTTCCATAATATTTGTATATAATAATAATTATTATTATTATGGTTGTATTTTTATATTTGTTATGTATTTGATTTATTTTCTCTTCTTTTCGATCTCTTTACTTAACGTTCTGAATAGTTTTGTAAATAATTACCTACTGTAAATGCTTGACAATGCCAATAAAGCTTTGATTATGCAGTCATTTTAAGGTTGAATTTAGCATATATTTATTTTAATTTTATTTTAGCTAATTAATAGACTATAATTTAGTTGAGGAATGAATTTGCAAATGAAAACACAACATGCTCATTTATCGTCACACACTGGCACAATCATAAAGTCAAAACTTTAATGGCATAGCTGTCAGGCAAATATATGGTAGCATATTAATAATAATTAGAACGTTAATTAGGTAAAGCGATACAATTGAAAGGGGAAATACAAAAATAAATATAAAAATATAGCCCTAAACCAGTTAATATAATAATATTATATTACAGTTTAATAATAATAACAACACACATAATAATAATAATATACAAATATTAAATAAAAAGACACAATCAGTTAACGAATTTACGGGATTGATAAAAATGTTTATCCATCTCTGATAATCGCAGGTTACGATGGTCACACAGGTTTGTTTACGCATCAAACTCCTGGCATTAAACTCGAGAAATGGATGTTGTTCCCTCAACAGGATCTCGAGGCCATGACTTCACATCGCGTGGCCACGACATAAGGATGACGTTACTTCGACAAAATAATCTCGTGGCCACGACATTTTATCACGTTCCCACGAGTTAATATGTAGTGACCACGACAAAAATAAGTTAACTGAACATGTCCCCTCCCGGTCACCGTAAGTATTAATTTCTTTGACCTTAAACAAGTTTGAATATATGGTAGCATATTAATAATAATTAGAACGTTAATTAGGTAAAGCGATACAATTGAAAGGGGAAATACAAAAATAAATATAAAAATATAGCCCTAAACCAGTTAATATAATAATATTATATTACAGTTTAATAATAATAACAACACACATAATAATAATAATATACAAATATTAAATAAAAAGACACAATCAGTTAACGAATTTACGGGATTGATAAAAATGTTTATCCATCTCTGATAATCGCAGGTTACGATGGTCACACAGGTTTGTTTACGCATCAAACTCCTGGCATTAAACTCGAGAAATGGATGTTGTTCCCTCAACAGGATCTCGAGGCCATGACTTCACATCGCGTGGCCACGACATAAGGATGACGTTACTTCGACAAAATAATCTCGTGGCCACGACATTTTATCACGTTCCCATGAGTTAATATGTAGTGACCACGACAAAAATAAGTTAACTGAACATGTCCCCTCCCGGTCACCGTAAGTATTAATTTCTTTGACCTTAAACAAGTTTAAACACTATTCTGTCTTACTAACAGAAGTGGGCACCAGAAAAATAAAGTATTTTGTTTTGAAGGACTGAACCAGTTGTGAATGAGCAGCAATTCTCAATCTGAGACAGATGCTTATGCTCTGACAAAAGTAATGCATCCAGTGTTAGAGGGAGTGTCAGTAATCTGGAATCTGATTGGACAGTGAGATGTCACTTACAGACACGATCTGAATGGGCTGAGACAGTGTGATGGGCGTGGCCGCAGAGGCAGAGATATTGGCTCCAGTGGTGCTGGTCTGTTGACTTGCAGACTGTTGCACGGCTGTGGCGAGGAGCTGCGCCTGCGTTTGCTGCAACATCAACTGTGCTGGAGTCAAACTCAACTGCACAGAGAGAGAGAGAGAGAAAAGAGGATCTGTGATTGACAGCTGCTCAAACACACACAGACACTCCTCATTTGAGTCCAGGAGAGTTTGAAATTTACAAGCTGCTAAACTTCACAACACTAATAAGCACAAAAACACAATGAAATAGGGTAAAACACAGTCCCTCCAAGATTTCATGGGACTTTTTATGATTTTTGACTGATTATAACACATACAACATTGTTATAGCATTTTAATTACTTTTCTGCGCTAAATAAACATTGGGCTCCGTGATTTATAAAAAGAGAAAACAAAAAAATAAACCTATGATGTACTCACTCTCGAGCCACCCTAGGTGTGTTTTGAAGCAAAATAATGCAATAACCTGCATCCATCCATCCATTATAAAAAGGGGG